GGAGGACTGGGTGTCTGTGCCCGGGAGGGAGGCCGTGCACAGCTTCCTGTGTCATTTCCTTTTCATTTCTCTTTTTTTTCCTGCTGTCAGCTCATAAGTCCCGTGGTTACTACTCAGGTGCAGCTCTGACTGGCAGGCCTCCCCCTCCCTGCCCTCTACACCCCTCCGCCTCCCCGTCACCCTCACCAGCCCCCCCTTAGCCCCAATTTCGCCAGCCAATCCTCACACAGGCCTGAAGGGATCACCGCCCAGGAGGGAGGGGCAGGTCCCAGCTCTGCGGAAAGTTCTGTCCCTTCTCCTGTCCAGGAGTCACCTCCCCTGCTCCCCGCACGAGGTTCCAGTAGAAGTAGGCGCCCCCCCCCCCAAGCGTCCCCTAAAGGGCAGAGCTGTTGCTGCCCTGACCCGGTGGCTCCAGGGCTTGGGGTGCAGCACAGGGAGCTGGGAGGCTGAGTTTGTTGGGTCAGAGCAGCCCTGGCCTTCCCAGGGGCGGGGCCTCACTCTCCTGAGCCCAGGGGGTCAGAGGTCACACACAGGGTGGTTCCAAACCCAGGCTCTTAGGATCCTCAGTAGACAATCCTGTCCTGGGCCCCTGCAGGGCATGGCCCATTTCCCGGAGGGTCAGACTGAGGCCCAGGCAGCGGCTCTGCTCCAACGCCTCCCCATCTCCCTTAGGCCCTGAGCCTCCTCCTTCTGACAGCCCCGCCCTGCGCACTGGGATGCCCTTGTGCAAAGAGGAGGAGTTCCCGACGGGGGCCATGTGCTGCCCCAAGTGCAGGCCAGGTGGGTGCAGCTCTGCAGGGCCCCTGGGGGCGCCGGGGGCGGGGCTGTGCTGGGGGCAGGCATCCCCCTCCCCTGGCCTGGAGCCCCTCTGCTCCCAGCACCCCTTCATGGGAGGCCTGAAGACCCTGGGCACAGACGGCACTCCCAGCTTCCCCCCCAGACCCTCAGCCCCCTGTTTAGGGTGGGGCTGGGGGTGGGCAGCCCATTTCAGGCCGGGAGAGGGGAGCTCAGAGCCAGGCCTCTGTGTCCCAGGTGGCCCCCAACTTCCAGAAAGTTCTCACTTCCTGCCAAGCGGGCTCACTGGCCTGGGGAACAGTCCAGGTGGGGTGACCCCTGGGGGGTGTCATACCTGCCGGGGCTCCTGGGGCCATCCCGCCCTGAGTGTGTGTCCTCTTGGCTGCAGGCTCCCGGGTGCAGGAGGCCTGCGGGGAGCTCAGGACCACAGTGTGTGCGCCCTGCACCCTGGGCACCTACACTGCCCACCTCAATGCCCTGCGCGAGTGTCTGCCCTGCTGCGTCTGTGACCCAGGTGAGACCAGGAGCCCAACCCCGGCTGTGCCGAGCCCCCAGCCCCCCATCCCGGCCACACTGACTGCAGGCCCTCAGGCTGCCCGGGGCCGGGCCTCCCGTCACCCAGGGGGCTCCCTGCCCAGGACCCTTCAAGGAGCCTCATCCCATGGCCACACCTGCCTCTCCCTAGAGAGGGCCCGCGCCTCAGCCCCCAGCACCTGTCACCGGTGCTTCCAGGCTCAGCCACCCGATGCCCTGCGGGCACCCCCGCCTGTGGCACAGCCCAAGGGCCCCCGGGGCCAGGCCTCCTCCACCTGCAGTGCCGGCTCCCAGGACCCCACACCCTCCCCAGGGTCCTCCTCCCGCTGAGCAATGGCCCCTGGGTCTCCTCCCTGCCCAGGGCAGGTGGATGGGCTGGGGCCCCCAGGAGGAAGGACAGGACCAAGGTGGAGGTCAGAATGCTTTGGGGTTCAGGCTGGGAGGTCTCAGCCGCCCAGAGATGCCTGGCCTTCTGTGGAGAAGACCCTGTCCCGTCCCTGCTGCTGCCGCCCCGTCCCTTGGACCCCCCTGGGTCTCGCCTCTGTGTCCGGCAGCTCCGGGCCTATGTTCCCGCTGAGCCTGAGCTGCGGCCAGCACGGTCCCGGGGGAGCAGAGGGGGCTGCCCAGCCCTCAGCGTGGTTTCCTCCCGGGACGGGGCGCTCCCCCAGCCCTGGCAGGCCTTGCTGCTGCTCTGAGCTCTTTCTCTGGGTCCCAGGCCTGGGCCAGGTGACCAGATGGAACTGCACCACCCGGACCAACACCGTGTGCGGCTGCGGGCAGGGCCACTTCTGTGAGCGACAGGACGGGGACTCCTGCATCCAGTGCAGGCCCCACAGTGTCTGCCGCCCGGGCCAGAGGGTGCGGGAGACAGGTGAGCACGGCTCCCCCTGAGGACACAGGTCCCGGACCCTGGCGTGAGGGAGGCCCCCGAGGAGTCCTCTGCCCGACACTGTCGTTTCTCAGGCACCGAGTGGCAGGACACGCTGTGTGAAGACTGCCAGCCGGGCACCTTCTCTGTGGGGGGCACCCAGGCAGCCTGCACGCCCTGGACCAGGTAGGTGACCCGGGTCCCAGGAGGCGCTGTCAGGGCTCCCTGGGGAGATAAGGGCCCCCCAGAGTGGAGACAGTGACCCCCCAGCCACCCCGCTGACCCTGTGGCTCCCACACTACTGTCTCCTCAGCCCAGGGCCCGGTCAGCACATCCCAGATGCGGGGCTCAGGGCGCTGCGGCCAGAGACCAACCCTGTGTTCCGGGGTGTCCCCAGGTGTCAGGGCTGAGGGGTCCTGCCATTCGGAATCAGGGGTGCACACACGAGGCTCCCAGAGTGAGGAGTCCACTCCCCCGGAAGCGGGAACCCCAATGCTCCCCCCTCCCCAATGCCGGTTCCAGCTGAGACCTGGCTGCTTAGTCTCTGGCGTGACTGCCACACAGAGGCTCTGTGTCCTGTGTGTCCCTCCTCTCCTCCCCCTGAGTCTGTCCCTCTGTCTGGGGCACTGGCTTTCACAGTCCATTCCTGACACCAGCTCTGTCCTCACCCCTGGCATCTCCTTCGCTGTCCCTCTCTTGTGACCAGTGTCCCTGTCCCCCTGTATCCTGCCCCTTCCTCCCCTCCCTCCGTCTCCCCGTGGCTGTGGGACAGGGAGAGTCAGACCTGAGTTCCCCCCAGGCCCCCTCCCCGGGCCCACCCCAGGCAGCAGCCTCCCCCTCTGTGCGCCAGGCTGCGCAGGGGACGCTCGGTGTCGGGGTGAGCGCCAGGGACTGAGGTGCCCCTGCCTGCTGCCCACGTGCCCTCCTCCCCAGGTGCAGTGGCACATTTGACTGGGAAGCGACGCCGGGGCCCACAGCTCAGACGTGACATGCTCCCCCTGGGGCCCTGTCATCATCAGCGTCACCCTCGTCATCGCTGTCATTTCTGTGCCCCTTGTGCTCCTGTCCATCAGGAAGAGAACGTCACGTGGTGAGCAGGAGCCCCTGGTCCCGTCAGGGCTCAGGTTCCAGCTCTCTCATCCCAGACACCGCTCTGGCTCTGTCCCCCAAATAGAGAGGCAGCCTGGGGTGCCCGGGGTCGGACTTCCTGTCTGAGGAGCCTGGTGCCCCCGGTGGCCACGCAGCACCAGGGCCTGAGCGCCCACCTGCCCTCAGCTGAGAGCAGCGGGAGGCCCCGTCATGCCTCCCTCCCCTGTCCCTGCTCAGGGTGCTCTGCTTGTCCAGAACCCAAGGGGGGCCCTGAGCAGAGAGAGGCTCAGGCCTGTGGGCGAGGCCATGCCCTGTCCTCACCTGGGAGGTGCCCGGCCCAGGGCTCCCGATCTTAGCAGCAGGCGGGTCCCTCCTCCTGGCTCCTGGCAGCCGCTCCCCTGGGGGGGCTCAGCCCTCCCTGTGGACGGTCCACGGGGCTGAGTGGGGCCGGGTTGGCAGCAGGGGAGGTGGCAGGGCCCGGGTCCTTCCCCGTCTCCCGGCCCCGGGGACAGGCCGACCAGGAGCCCGTGCTTGGGTCTTGCTGCCTCTGAGCGGGTCGGTCTCTGGGAGGTTCCCAGTGAGCAGCAGGCCCCCTGGTCCCCGGCCGGGCGGCCCCTTCTCACGGGGCGTCTCTGTTTTGCAGGACAACTCGCCTTTCCTCGGGTACTACTGCCTGTCCCCAGCTTGGAGGTGAGGCTGCTAGGTGGGAGAAGGGCGGGGTGGGGGGAGGGGCACGTCTCTGCATGGCTGAGTCCTCCGTGGATGCTGTGCTAAGTCGGGGAGGGAGGCCCCGCTCTTGGCCTTGGGGGTGGCTGACCCCGAGCATCCAGGCCAGGCCTGAGCGGCCCCTGGTCTTCACGCCGAGTGTCCCTCGCAGGGGACAGGGGAGCCGGCAGAAAGGAACAGGCGTCGGGACCTGCAGGCCTCCCGGGTCCAGCCAGACGTCACCACGGAGCCCGTGGAGGAGACAGCATCCGTGTTCCCTCAGAGCGACCGCCACCTGACACATGGCTGCGGGATGCAGGCGCCTGAGCCATCTCCGCGAGGCTGCGGGCAGCGGCCAGCCCCCCAAGGACCAGCTACGGGGTCAGGGGAGCCACCAGGACCTGCTGGAATCCAGCTCCAGCATGTGAGCTGGGCTGACTCATCTGGAGGTGGCTGAGGGCATTTCCCCAAACCTGAACAGGATGCTTAAAGGTGTGGACGAAAGGGGCCACATGCTGACCTGACAAGCTCATGGAAGGCCTGCATGGCAGCCTGGCAGACTCAGAGACCTGGAATAACCACAAAGGATGGTCTGAAATTAAACTTTGACTAGAAGCAGTGATGGTGGACAGTCACCTCCTAGGCCGGTATCTTCACTGACAAGATCAACTTTGATCCTTACTGAGCCCATTTGCCTTTTTGCCTCTAAGATAACACACCCTTGAAATGTCTGGGTCACTTGTAACTTCCCTTTTTCTGGAGCCCCTGGGGCACAACCTAATGTGCTGGGCACCAGGACAGAGACCACAAATCCCTTCATCATCATGTTAATTGATCCTGCACTCACCTAAGTATGTGTCCATCATTTTACTTTTTATCCAATCCCAGGGGTTTCCCTGCTTTGCTTTATCCCTCCTCCTTAATCTATCACCAATGGATTTCATGTAACCCGCCTATGTACCTCCTTTGATTGCAAATGTATAAATACAAATGTAACCCCGCCATTCTCCCGAGCACTATCTCAATTCATTGAGGTTCTGCTTCCCGGCATATGTCGACAGTTTGGCTCAAATAAACTCACAAAAATTCCTTATAGGTTTCAATGGTTTTTTTTCGTTAACAAAGGATTGCTGGCTGCCAGACAGCTGAGGGCATTTCAATCTACATGTTACTGCCTCCTGCTGGCCAAACACCTGGACAGCCGGGGGCAGTTCCCCATCTGACCATGGACTCTGTGTACTAGCCCTGCCTTTGATGTATGTCTCCCTCACCTCAGGGCAAAGTGTGTTAATAAATAGCGAGGGGTCCTGAGACAGGGAGAACTTCGTTCCTTTAGCTAAGTCTCCTCTGGTCCCCAAATGCCTCCAAAATCATGTTTCGTCTCTGGACTCTATTCATTTACACGCAGCACCTTCTCCAGATTCCTGAACCCTTCGAGCTGCTGCATTAAGACCACCAGCCTTAGAGCGTCCCCTGCGCAGCCTGGCGCACAGAGGGGGAGGCTGCTGCCTGGGGTGGGCCCGGGGAGGGGGCTCTGGGGGGCACTCAGGTCTGACACTCCCTGTCCCACAGCCACGGGGACACGGAGGGAGGGGAGGAAGGGGCAGGACAATCGGGGACAGAGACACTGGACACAAGAGAGGGACAGCGAAGGAGATGCCAGGGGTGAGGGCAGAGCTGGTGTCAGGAATGGACTGTGAAAGCCAGTGCCCCAAACAGAGGGACAGACCGGGGGGGGGGGGGAGGAGGGACACACAGGATCCAGAGCCTCCGTGTGGCAGTCACACCAGAGACTAGGCAGCCAGGTCACAGCTGGAAGGGAGGGACGTGGACACTGGGGTTCCAGTTTCCGGGGGAGTGGACTCCTCACTCTGGAGCCTCGTGTGTGCACCCCTGACTCCGAATGGCAGGACCCCTCAGCTCTGACACCTGGGGACACCCCGGGACACAGGGTGGGTCTCTGGCCACAGCACCCTGAGCCCCGCATGTGGGATGTGCTGACTGGGCCCTGGGCTGAGGTGACAGCGGTGTGGGAGCCACATGGTCAGCGGGATGGCTGGGGGGTCACCGTCTACTCACTGGGGGTTCCTTATTTCCCAGGGGGACATTGGCAGCGCCTCCTGGGACCTGGGTCACCTACTTAGCCCAGGGCGTGCAGGATTCCTGGGTGCCCCCCGCAGAGAAGGTGCCCGGCTGGCAGTCTTCACACAGCGTGTCCTGCCACTCGGTGCCTGAGAAACGACAGTGTCGGGCAGAGGGCTCCTCGGGGACCCCTCAAGCCGGGGTCCGGGACCCGTGTCCTCAGGAGGAGCCGCGCTCACCTGTCTCCCGCACCCTCTGGCCTGGGCGGCAGACACTGTGGGGCCTGCACTGGACACAGGAGTCCCCGTCCTGTCGCACACAGAAGTGGCCCTGCCCGCAGCCGCACACGGTGTTGGTCTGGGTGGAGCACTTCCGTCTGGTCACCTGGCCCAGGCCTGGGACCCAGAGGAGGAGCTCAGAGCAGCAGCAAGGCCTGCCAGGGCTGGGGGAGTGCTCCGTCCCGGGAGGAAACCACGCTGAGGGCTGGGCAGCGCCCGCAGGCCTGGTGAGGGCACGGGGACAGGGGTGCAGCCCCCTCTGCTCCCCCTGGACCCTGCCAGCCGCAGCCCAGGCTCAGCCTGGAACATAGGCCTGGTGCTGCCGGACGCAGAGGCCATTCCCAAGGGGCTCCTGGACTCACCTGGGTCACAGACGGGGCAGGGCAGACACTCGCGTAGGCTGTTGAGGTGGGCAGTGTAGGTGCCCGGCGTGCAGGCCACACACATTGTGCCCGTGAACTCCCCGCAGGCCTCCTGCACCCGGTAGCCTGCAGCCAAGAGGGCACACACTCAGGGCGGGACGGCCCCAGAACCTGGGCAGGTGTGACAGCCCCCCCCCAGGGGTCACCCCACCAGGGCTATTCCCCAGGCCAGTGAGCCAGCTTGGCAGGAAGTGAGAACTTTCTGGAAGTTGGGGGCCTCCTGGGACACAGAGGCCTGGCTCTGAGACGCCCTCTCCTGGCCTGAAATGGGCTGCCCACCCCCAGCCCCGCCCTGAGCAGTGAGCTGAGGGTCTGGAGGGGAAGCTGGGGGTGCCCTCTGTGCCCAGGGGCTTCAGGCCCCCATGAAAGGGTGCTGGGAGCAGAGGGGCTCCAGGCCAGGGGAGGGGGATGCCTGCCCCCAGCACAGCCCCGCCCCCGGCGCCCCCAGGGGCCCTGCAGAGCTGCACCCACCTGGCCTGCACTTGGGGCAGCACATGGCCCCCGTCCAGAACTCCTCCTCTTTGCAGGAGGGCATCCCCAGTGCGCAGGGGGGGGCTCTCAGAAGGAGGAGGCTCAGGGCCTAAGGGAGATGGGGGGGCGTTGGAGCAGAACAGCTGCCTGGGCCTCAGTCTCACCCTCTGGCAAATGGGCCATGCCCTGCAGGGGGCCCAGGACAGGATTGTCTATGAGGATCCTAAGAGCCTGGGTTTAGGACCACCCTGTGTGTGACCTCTGACCCCCTGGGCTCAGGAGAGTGGGCCCCGCCCCTGGGAAGGCCAGGGCTGCTCTGACCCGACAAACTCAGCCTCGCTGCTCCCTGTGCTGGACCCGGAGCCCTGGAGCCACCGGATCAGGCCAGCAACAGCTCTGGTGTGTGTGTTGCGGGGGGTGTCTCTGGCTTGACAGGGTCACAGGCAGGGGGCTGGTGATGAGGAGGGGAAGGGGACGGGGAGGGGAAGGCCTATCAGTCAGAGCTGCACCTGAGTCATAACCAGGGACTTAGGAGCTGATGGCTCTGGAAACGCACAGGAAGCCTCCCTCCCGGGCACAGACACCCAGTTCCTCCCCAGACGGGGCCGGGCGGTGGGGGAGGATTCCGCCCTGAATGGGGGGTGGGATAGCGGTCCACAGAGGAGAGTCCTTGGAGGGGGTGGTCTCCTGCCTGGGCCCAGTCCCAGCGGCCAGGGCTGTGGGCAGGGCCGGCTCCCCCACCGGCGCTGGGCTGCTGGGCGACACCGTCCCCGACTCACCAGCCTCAGGACGTCAGCCGTGGGCGTCGGGCTGCAGGGGGGTGGCCCCCAGCCAAGCAGAAGCTCCATGCTTACCCCAGGGACCCCTCATTCCCTGACCGCTGCCTCGGAACTCTGGCCAGCAGGACAGACAGACAGCAGGACAGAGGGACTCATTCTCGACCTCGCAGTAGTGTCTGTTCCTGTAAGAGAATGTGAAACAGAAATGGATCTTGTTTTGCAGTTTCCTCCAACCGCCGAACAGGCCAGGGGCGGGGAAGGGTTCTCACTGGGCTCTCAGTGCACTGGAGCGGGGCCAGGTGGGAGGGGCCAGAGAACTGCTCTGCCTGAGCTGGGGCCCCAAATGCATCTTGCTCCCTGTAGCTCTGCCCCCCAGAGAGCTGGTCTGCAGCCTCTCCCCACGCGGGCATTGACTTCTGAGCCTCAGTGACCTGTGTCCCCTCTGCCTGCGGAGCTGTTTGCACCCACGCCCCCTTAGACTGAGCCTGGGCGCTCCTCACCCCCTCCCTCCTGCCAGGCCCCCGGGCCCCTTCAGCACCCACCTTCCCCTCTGCACCCCCGCCCCTGCCCCGGCTCCGTTTCCCAGATGCTAGCAGACTTTGCACACCAGGCTCTGGACTCTCAATGTGTTTAAATGAGCGCTTCTGCCCAGGGAGGCGCCAGGAGAGGGACGCTGAGCTCCCCAGGGGGTGAGGCCTGGGAATGAGGATGTGGTTATTGACCGTGATGGTCATGGGGCCTCGGAGGATTCTGGCCAGATGGTCACAAGCTGCTTCTCCCTCTTCCTTCCTCTCTGAAATCTATCTACACTAATAAAAGGATAATATGCTCATTAGACCGGAGACCTTCCAGACAAAGCCATGGTGGCTGGCCAAGGCAGAGGCAGTTAGGGACGAGTAGTCCGGCAGGAGGAGGCAGTTGTGGGTGAGCTGGCTGGCAGGGGGGACAGGTGGGTGCAAGCAGGCCTGCAAGGGGGGGCAGTTAGGGGTTAGCAGGCTGGCGGGAGGGGCAGGTGGGGGCGAGCTGGCCAGCAAAGGGGGGCAGATGTGGGTGATCAAGGCTGGCAGGGGGGGGCAGTTGGGGGTTAATCAGGCCAGAGAGGGGGACAGTTGGGGGTGATCACGCCACCAGGGGGGAGGCGTTTGGGGGT